CCCGCATACTAAAGTTTTTTGGAGCTGCAAGTGACAAAGACTAACGTTAGCCAAAGAGGAACGTGCTTGAGGATAGGGCAGTAACTCGCTGAATGCAAAAGGAAGCCGAACCAAACAAATGAAATGAAAACAAGTTCCGGGAAGGGCAAAACTATGAAGCTCGTCTGTGAGGTCCTGGAACTAAGAAGCTTTGAGTATGCCATTCTGAGACTTGTCTCTCTTGCACCTGGGAGAAAGGATCTGGTGGGTCTAGTGCAGACCTGCATCTCACGTGAGGCCAAAGCAGGGACAGGGACACAGGAAGGGCATGCTGGCTGGGCATCCGCTCCTAGATTTCAGGAGCAGTGCCAGAGAAGAGGGGTATCCGGGTGAGCGTCCCCAGAGATCAGCACTCTTCTCCCCTCTTTGTTACAGCAGCATATGGCCAGGAGTTGTTTCCAAACTCCACAGGTGGGAGGGGTAGGGGGTGCAGGGGGGGGGGGGGGTTTTAAAAAATGTTAAATATGGATCGTATTACCAAAAAAAAAAAAAAAAAGAAAAAACTGTGAAGTTACGAACCGGTCACGCTTGAAAAGAGGATATGTTCTCCTCTGTTAAAAAATGGCTAAGTTGGGCTCCATCCAAAGGACAGGAAGACCTTTTGGTACTAAGATTGTGTGATTCCTGTGGTGAAATGTCCGCTCTATCGTAGATCAGCATTTCTCAAACCGTGTCCATTAGATGTCAATCGATGTTCTATGAAGAACAGAATTCGACCTTTAATCACGTTTGAGAACTACTATGTTAAAGTTTGTGTCTGCGATTGTCACTTAGGCTTGTGTGTTTTGTTCTGTGGGAGAATTTCTCCTAACATTAATATAGACCATAACTTTCCCAAAGGGGGATGGGATCATGAATGCAAGGTTTCCCAAATTCATTTGACACCGTTGAGAAGCCATTTGGATTTTTTTTTTTTTTTTTTTTAGCAATACCTAGTGACATACTTAAGGACACTTGTGTTCCACACAGCACACTTTGGGAAACACTACTGTAGACTACATCTTTATATACCTTGGTAGTCTTCTTGTCTACTTTATGCAAAGAATGATGAGCACATAAAGCGACCTATTTTCTTTTTTTTTTTTTTAAGTTTATTTTATTATTTATTTTGAGAGCTGGGGAGGGCAGAGAGAGAGGGAGAGAGAATCCCAAGCAGGCTCTACGCTCAGCACGGAGCCCAACTTGGGACTTGATCCCATGAACTGTGAGATCATGATGTGAGCCACACCAGTGCCCCATAATACTGCCTCGTTTCTTGATAATGTCTAACTTGATTGTAGATTTATTTTACATAGCTTTTTTCCTGTTAATTTGTATAAAATAAAATTCACTCTTTGTGGAGTAGAGTTCTGTAGGTTTGGATAAGTGCATGGAGGTGTGCCTTCATCCCCATGGTCATGGTATAGAACAGTGCCATTGCCCCCCACCCCCAATTCCCCACCTCTTTATAATCAAGTCATCCCTCCCCAGTCCCAATCCCTGGCAACTACTGACCCGTTTTCCATCCCTATAGTTTTGCTTTCCCAGAATGTCATTTAAATGGACTCATGCATTTTGTAGCCTTTGGGTCTGGCTTCCTTCACTTCAGCAAAATGGCGTTTGACATCCATCCATGTGATTGTGTGAATTAATGGTTTGCCCCTTTCAGTTGCTGAGCTGTGTTCTCTTGTAGGTATGGATCACAACGCATCGATTCATTCATCCAATGAAGAAGATGATACAACTTCCTTGTCAAAATGATAAATCAAATAGAACATTTGTTCATAGTTAACAAATGAAGTGAAATTATGTCTCAAGTGGATATTATTGTCTCAGTAGAAGAAAATATCTGACAAATTGGGACAGGATTGTATTTTTCTTTTGATGGAGGGTAAGAGGCCAGGAGGAGAGACTAAGTGTGTCCATATCATTATTAAACATAAAAAAAAAAAAAATCCCCAGCAAATTCCCTTGCAAGAGACTTCCCGCAGAAGCGATCCCTGCCAGATAGAGAAACTTTTGTCAGTAGGAACCTCCCAGAGGCATTGGTTATTTGGTCCAGTACCATGATCTCATTTGCAGACCCGATAAAACAGCTCTCTTAGAAGCAGGACATAATGGGCAGAGATAAAGTTCTTTACATAAGAAAAACAAAAGCAACAGAATATTACTTATGAAGTTCAGAATAATGAATTACATTCACTTATCTACTTGTTATCTCATTCCATTCTGAATGTTATCCAGTCTCCGGTGATTCTCATAGAAATCCGTTAGGATTGGATTTATAGACCAGGTGTGTCTCTTGCTGAAGGATGAGACAGTCCACCCTCAGATGACTCAATTCAAGACCACTCGCCGATTCAAACTCTCCATTCTGCTGTGGCCTCTAAACCCACTGTGGTCAAGGGAGTCTGATTCTCTTCCTGCGAAAATGGTGCCTTTTCCCCATGTTTCAAGAAGAGAACTGAGTCCACGATGCTATCCCCCCAAAGAAGAACTGGTTTGAGTTCTGGTGAAGAGTTACACAGATACCTTTGTTTCTGCTGATGTTTCCCTTTGTTTTGCTTTTTTTTGTTGTTGTTAATGTACTTTCTGGAAGCCAAGTTTACTTTTCTAAATATCTGTGACAGTTTCTCCCGACACTTCTTGGACCCCCAAGAGTAATTCCATTTAGAAGGTGTAAGATTCTTGAAACTTCACAAAGATATCCTATTCAAAGAGAAATACAGTCTTATTTTCCTGGCTTGATACTCAGTACTGAGAGTGTTTGTTGTTCATTCAATGAAGATCGAATATGTTCCTAGGACAGACAATTGTCTCTGCCTTCATACACTGTATGGATACATAACTGACATATTTGAAGACAGTTCAGTAGGGCTTAATGTGTTTAAGCCTTCATTGATCTATGAGAGAATCATCAAGTTCTCTACTTCTGGCAAATTTCCCAAATAATGACCAAAAGAAGTTGTCAGAATTTTAAAATAAAAAAGACTGCAGACTTTGGCTTCCTTCAGAACTACACTTTATTGGTACAGATTCTCCATGTAAGGAAACTTTAGGGATTCATAAAATTAAAGAGGAATTAGGACATAGTAGTAAAGAAGAACGCTATTCATCTGAAATGATCGCAGAATATATGTACCCAGGATGACCTGTGCATTCTGTTGAAGAGAATTTCCTTAGAGATAGCTAAGAACTCAGAGGGAAAAGTGAAAAACAAAAAACAAAAAACAAGAGTTTTAGGAAATTTAGATAATAGGTTACACGTCATGTTTTTTTAAGATGTCTCCAATTCCATTTATTTTAAAAGGGGACAGTGAGGATTCTGGTAGGTTATTGGTAAGTGGAAGGAGTGTGGGTCAAGGCTCTGATGGGTTTCCAGGTGGGTATTAAACTGCCTTCACCTCTAGCCTAGAGAAGGGTCCAATCCCCCTACAATTACATGCAAAAATGCCAATGTCAGCCAACTCCCAATAAGGAGATGATTTATCAGAAGTACCTAGTGAGAGGGGATACAGAGAGTGGTGAGTGGTCACAGAACCTGAGAGCCTCCACCACCCCATAACCACCACCCCATAACCACCCCACACCATGGCCTATGGCAAACCACATGAAATGAAATCATGTCTCAGGTGCTTTGCTCTGAATCACGATCCTCATTTACTGGGAGTATCCCCCCTGAGAGGCTGAACTGCTAGATGTATGAGTCAGTCTGTGGCTTTCTCTCAGTGTGAAACTCTCTAAATAGATCTACTTTCAGATTAGATCACTTTCTGTGCAAAGAGTCCAGCGATGAGGTTAGAGATTATTGATATCATAGTATCACAAGGTCTATGAAGAAGAGGGAAAGGATCAACGGAATGAGCTTCGCAGGACCTAGGTCACTCTATGATGGTTTCCCACTGACTTTAGGAAGCAGTCCAAACTATTTAATGTGTTCCCAAAGTCCTTGATGACCCCTGTTTACCTCCCTTCATACACTCTGGCTACATTGGCCTTCTGTCAACAATTCAAATGCCTAACGTTCTGTCTTGCAGTGGGGCCTTCCTATGGGCTGTCCCCAGCACACGCAAGGTTTTTTCCTCCAGACCCGTGTGCCTTCACCTGATCATCTCGAACTCCTCTACCACCTTCCAATGTCAGCTGAACTCAAGTCTCAGGGAAGCCAGACCCCAGACTAGGTTAGGCTCTTGACGTTGTACGTTGGATTGGCTGCCTAAAACCCATCTCAAACCCCACCAAGCGGCCTTTCCCATATACAGAGATTAGAAAACTAAACAAACAAACATACATTTCCTAAACTTTTCTTGCAGTGAGATCTGGATATGGCCTGTGCTCTGCAGAGTAAACCCATCTACTGCTATAGTATTTCCTGGCAGTCCCATCCTAGCTGGTTTACTAGTCCTTCTGGAAGTTCCTGTAAACCCATTACCCTCTAACAAATCCCTTTCTTTTTAAGTTAGCTAGAACAGATTCAGTTTCTTGCAATTATCTGATGAATACAGACTTCCTACTCTACACCTTTATTGTTCATGTACTTTTCCTTCATATAATTCCTCACAGCTGCAAATAAATCATTGTTTAGTTTTTAGCATATATGTATCATCGCCACTGGATGACAATCGCCCTGAAGGACAGGGGTTGGGTTGTATCTTCAGCACCTAACATCACGCCCTTCCTGTAATAAGTGCTCAGTTTTAGGTATTGGTGAATGAATGAGTGAATGAAAAAATGAATGACTATTTCTTCAACCCAGTTCTCTCCCTTATTAGCAATTTTACCTTGAGTAACTTAGTTCACCTACCGGAGTCACAGTGTTCTGAAGAGACAGGGCCCTAACTCACCTGACATTGTATAGATCAAATAGGAAAATATATTTGGAAATATTTTATGAACATTTTATTCAAATGTTAAAGGTTATTATTCTGGGCTACTAAGAAACAACGAGTAAAGAAGAAAACGTGGTCAATAATTTTTCGGAGTCCAGCTGTAATAGAGCTTTTATTTTCTTAACATCGCAAGTCTATGCAAGTCCACACATATGGGAAGAATTTGCAAATCCCAGTCATCTTATGAGCTCCCGGATGTCCAGAACTCATAATAGAAACAGCTGAGAGCAGTATTAAATTATAGCACGAATATGGCACTGCTCTTTATCGTAACCCAAGGTCAAATAAACATCGATTGGGACACATGGAGATTCTTCTCTTGGACGATTCCGAAAAGGATTTGGGGATATAAGTGGTTATACGAGACATAATAAGGACTCGAAACATATAAGTAAAATTATATCACAACTTTGGAACCCAGGCTCTATCATTCAGATGGTACCTAACCTTGAATTAAGTGCCACACAGATGCTCCCATTCATTTTGTTTGCCTGTCGTGTGCGCATTGAATTATGTGGGGCAAAGTGTTGGTGGTCACCAACCTGTGTTCCTGGGGGTGTTCCTAGGGATGGAGCTGGACTTACTGATCTTTTGCTCATAGGTTTTCAGGATCTGCTTTGACTCTGATCCTCTGTTGACCTGCTTGGACGGCTGGGTGAGGGAACTGAGGGCTGAGAAGAAATGATGGCCGAGCGTCTTCCTTTGCAGGAGGGAAGGAAAAAAATAGTAGCAAAGGAAAATTGAATAGGCTTGTAAGGTAATTAGCAATTTTCAAATGCAGCGATGGGCAAAGGAAACAAAACGTAGAACATGTATTAAAAGTCAAGCGGATGGTTTAGAAAATACAGCTGTAGGATCACACAGATTTTGACCATCCAAACCAAATTCAATTATCATGTCTGTGCTGCTTTTCTGTTTCCGCCACTGAAAGGCTATTATTAGGTGCTCTCTCTCTTTTTTACATCTCCAAGTAATGCCTTCATAAAACATTCCAAAAAGTAAACATTAGCTTTAGGCCATTTGATTACTGGTTTCCCAGAACGCTATGTTCTGTCCTGTTTCTCTCCATATTCCTTTAATATTAAAAATAGGAAATGACTGAAGGCAGTTGAATGGCTCTGCCTTGGAGGCTGTCCCCCCAGCCAGCCTCTCAAGCATTGTTGGGTCCTCGTCCCTCTAAAGCCCATTTCATCCTTATTACATAGACAGCCCGATGCCAAGCAGGAAAAAACAAAAACCAAAAAAAAAAAAAAAATAGTAACCGAACATTTCTTTCCTCTCGACCAGTTACCAATTTTTTTTCAAAGTGCCTATGCTTTGTTTAACACACCTTTGCCGCTGTGGCTTCTTTTAGGTGAGGGTCGTTTTATTTTTTGTGCTAGATTATCATCTGAATTGAGAACTGGCTCTGAAAGTGTCAGGTGAGGTGAACAGAACCTGGGATCAGAAGGAGGCACACACAGGCACCCAGGAAGTGATCTGGGCTGCACCCAGGAAGTGATCTGGGCCGATGGAGCTGTGGGTTATGTCTACCACGGGTGGCGCTCTTACTCAGAGGCTACTTCCTCCAAGCTCTGAGCTGACCCCAGGGTGGCGGTTGGGGAATGATGAGTGACATGCCCTCACGTAGGAACCACTCCTGGGAGTGTCAGAGGACTCAAAGAGAATCCACAAAGAAGCCAGATCCATGTGTTTCTTTGCAGGTGGAGATGAATGGAGGTGAACATGGGCATCTATGCAGGAATTTCTCCTGTATTCCTCAAAAGCAACGTGGAGCGAAGTCTGTCCCAGTTGGTTTGTCTTCCCTCAATACGCATCCTCTAAAGCAAAACGAAAAGAGAAAATTGTGCAGAAAAGCGACGGCCGCTACCGTGAAGCCAAGAAAGAACTTAATCCTGAAGCCAAATTCATTTTAACATAAGCTTAAGTAACATCTCGGAAAGCCTTAAATCAGACGTCGCTTCACATCCTTTTCAGGGCTGCAGTAACATTCAAAAATACATTTGTGCATAGCTGTGATTGTTGGACGCAAATTATTTTGTCTTCTCCCCCTGAAATTTAACATTATTTTGTACATTTCCATGCCTGTGTCCCCACCATTTGCGAAGCTGGTCTTTGTTATATAGACTCCAAACCCATTCTCTCGTCTACTTAATCATTCAACAAATATTTATGAGTGCCTCCATATAGGAGAGACCCAAATATATCATCACAAAGAAGGTGCGGAAGGATAATACACCACGGTGGCTTTTCAACCATCTTGAAACCAACCTCTTCCCTTTTCATTCCTTTTGCAGAGTCAGGCTTCTGCCTCACTAAACTGAGACATTTCTCCTAAGGAAAAAGTGAGCGTGAAGTCCAAGATCTCATTTCGCTTCTCTGGGTTCTAGTTCCTTCTGTGTAAAGTGAAGAAGTGGTGAATTTGATATCTAAGCTCCCTTCCTTCACTGGAATTCTGGGCTCTAGGCTTCAGGAAATAGTAGCAACGTAACATACACCATTTTGCCGGACGTCTTACGGTTGCCCTGATGAGTCATGACGCATCTCGCTAATCCTCTAACTCACCGGTGGCGAACAATTTAGAAGGTAAAATGTGTGTCTTGGAGCCCCGCCCCCCAAGACTGCTTAGCCTCAGACTGTGCAACCTCAGCAGCCGAGGCCAAGAATTTGCGAACCAGGAACACACGGACAGACGTACACAGCACACTTTTCTTTTCCGTTTCTTTCGCTCCGTTCAAGGGAAGACCAAGGAGTGCTTTGGGAAAACTTTTTTAAAAAATCCCTTGTGTGATTCAAAGAGAGAAATGAACATGTTCCCTCTTTAATACATATGATTTTATTTTTATTCCAGCCACCTATGAATCCAAAAGTTGTTGTTGTTGTTGTTGTTGTTGTTGTTGTTTTAATGTTCTTGGCACTGGTGTTTCCCCCTCTGAGCCCATCGCTGTTCTGATTTCCCACTGAGATCTACAAGTGATCAAGAGATCAATAATTCCAAATGGTGTTTTCACAGGAGCACTTCCTTCCACAGTACGTAAAATGTTCTTTCGTGAAGACAGATGGACCCAGTCTGCAGGACCCTGCTTACTCGAGAGAAACCGTCTTTGAAAACTTTTGACAACCAGCGGGATAGCACGTCTGTTTCTATTTAAATGAGCTCATTATAGTTAATATTTTTGTGACTTCCAATCAGTTGTTCACTCATTTCTCAAGTGTGATACGTTTTAGTCAAAAATGAAACACTTTATGGCATAAATATTGTCAAAACCCCATTTTAACTACATCCTTTTTGGAACAAATTTTCTAGAGCAAGGTACTTTTTTAAAAAGGTACAGTGCTTATGATGTTTCTTTGCTGAAATAGATGTAAATGGAATGATTAACAGACCCCAGTTACCTTAAGAATCACACGTTGCCCCTTTTTACTTTTGTAGATCTGTTTCTTTGGTGGCGTTTCTGGTCTGGCCTTTTAAATTGACTGATTTAAAAGATATATGAAGTCTACGGTCTATCTGCCATTTCATTGACCGAAGTTATCTAGTAAACGGCATTTCTGAGCTGACCAGCAAAATGACAGCTGATACTTGTAACAATGATAGACGGAGCACAGGGAGCTCTAAGCCACAAAAAGTCAGACACCATCCAAAATGGCTGCTCCAGAACAGGAAACGTCAGAAAATGACACTCTTTGAAGAGAAGAAAACTCTCCCCTCCTATTGTAGGACTTTAGAGTGTGATTCTGGGGCGTTTGAATACTGGCATTTAGGGGGCCTCCTTTAGGTATTATTAGGAAGTGGCATTTTAGTCGGTGTACCTATTTGAGAGAATAGCCCTGTAGGGTGACACGTGATGGGGTATTGCCATGGCAAACAGACCTGAAAGGCACCAGAAGGGGCTCCTGGGTGGCTCAGTCAGTTGACGACTGACTTCGGCTCAGGTCATGATCTCAGGGTTCATGGGTTTGAGCCCCGCGTTGGGCTCTGTGCTGACAGCTCAGAGCCGGGAGCCTGCTTCGGATTCTGTGTCTCCCTCTCTCTCTGTCCCTCTCCCACTTGTTCTCTCTCTTTCTCTCCTCAAAAATAAACATTAAATTTTTTTTTAAAAAGCGGAATCCAGAAAAGACAGAGGTCTAGAATAAGAAATTCTTACTGCTTCTTTTCCAGTGTAAGAATAAAGTTCACCGGAGTACCAGAAACGCGGTGGTATGTGACAGGTGCATGCGGATAATTCTGTAGATCACCACAGCTCCAAGAAATACCCTCGAGATCCCTCAATTCCCTATGTTCAAAAACCAGCCACAGCATCTTAATTTGGTTTGCTCATAAAAGGGAATAAGTTGATTGAGCCCAGCAAATATATCCATTCAACTTAGCGGTAAATGCTGACTCAGAAGTTAGTAAGTTGACCTTTAGGTACAAATTCGCTTCGTACAACTTGGATGACCACTGGGTGAGGTGCAGACTTGTAGTCTCAGTTTCCACTACGTGGTGAGGATCCACGTAAATGGACGTTGACTCCCTAATACAGTCACCGCAATGGAATCAAAGCATTGCGTGCTTCTGATGTCATTACCCAAGAAAAGTGAAATAATGTCAAATGGAAATTGCGTTGTACTTTAATTCCTTAAAAAGCACGATTAAAATATTGATAATACTCACCCCTGATCGCTAAGTACTTCCTAAGTGCCGCGCCCTCTTTTCATTGTTTTAATGTGTATCGTTTGTTTAAGTCCTTACCACTGTCCCTAATAATATCCCCGTTTTCCATATGAAACAATGAAAGCACAGCGGGGTTAAAGAAATTGGCCAGGATCACACAGCTAGTAAAAGGCGTAGTCAAGATGTGCACCCTGGCAATTTAGGTCTGCAGTCCGTCCTGTTCATTACTAGGCAAAATCTCTATTCAACAAATAATGTCATGAGTTACCGTTCTCCGACCAAGCCAGGAAAATGTTTTATTAAATTAAACAACACTCCCCTGTTCACAGTAGCATTCCCTAGCATTTCTTCAGCCTGCTTTGACCTGGGTCGTTAGGAGTACATCCTCTTTCATGACACCAGTGTGTCTGGGGTCAGGATTTTCACATGTGGTACAAGGACTCTTTCCCAGGTCAACCCCTCGACTTTCAACCGCGAGTTTACTCTGAGTAACCTAATGTTCTGCAACACAGAGATCACCGCCGGGCCAGAGAAAGTGGGGGAAGAGTGGAGCCAGGCTGCAATTCCTGTTTGTTTTGCAGTGTGGATACCGAGACTACGCCACTGGCAACTTCTGCCTCTTACATCATTTGTCTCCTCTGCTAATTATCGGCCCTGGGAGCGTTAACCAAAAACTTTTCTCCCTCGCTGTTCTTGAAGCGAACACACAATTAAAACACAGGTGTGTTTATCTCATTGGAATCTTTGCCACAAAAATTCTAAGATGTCACCCCGGGAGAGTAACGTAACCTCCCTGGGTCACCAAACGAGAGGCGTGGGGAGCTCTAAAGGGAGACACTCGTCTCAGAGCGCGCGCCCTTGAGGATGCACTGTGCCCGGCTCCGGAGGGGCACCTGCACAGCAATGTGTCAAACAGGTGCTCTGACCACAGGCATCGCCTAAGGGGACGGCCTTTCTGACGGGGGAGACCGAAGCAGCCAGGCCAAGCCCGAACAGCGGAGACCTCAATTTGTTTCTAATTGGCATCGCTCAAGGGTCCGGGCAGTAATAACCCCAGGTTCGTGCGGCAGGGATGGGGAGCAGGAGAACAGCTGGCCCGGAGGGGTGGGACGTCTTCCACAGTGCAGTCTTTATGCAATCACTTACTCATTCCTATAAACACCTTTTTAGTGAAAGCCATCTATGTCCAAGCACTGAGCAAGACAAGAGCTACCCCCCACCCCCACCCCACCCGCTCTCAATGAAGGCAGAGCCTAGCTCAGGAATCCAGGTCAGCAGAAATCAAATTGCACACAGCAGGCCCCCCTGGGAGAAATGCGAAGAGAGTAATAGCTCCAAGGGCAAGGTGAGTGGTACCGGGTGGGGAGGGAGGAGGAGCTCAGAGCACGTCCAGTCCGCGAGCTATGTTTGTGGGAGCGCCTCTAAGGGCACCAAGACCACTGGTGAGGTTGAGAGTCTGCGAGGTCAGAGAGGTCGGGTGAGTTGAGGATGGCTAGCCTGTCGCCAAACCGCAGAGGCTGTGTGCTCTCTGCCCAAACTCGACTTCCTGCTGCAGGGCGCCAAGGCTCCACAGACCTCAAGCCCAGGTTAAAGCCGGTCCCACACTCGTAGGTATACAGAGGTGGGGGGCGGCGGGACGGGGCTTGGCAGGCCGTGCTGAGAGTGCATTTGAAGGCTGCATGATAAGAAAAATTGACAAGCAGGTGAAAATGCTTCAGAGGCACCTGGGGGCTCAGTCGGTTAAGCGTCCGACTTTGGTTCAGGACATGATCTTGCGGTTCGTGGGTTCAAGCCCCGCGTCGGGCTCTGTGCCGACAGCTCAGAGCCTGGAGTCTGCTTTGGATTCTGTGTCTCCCCCTCTCTCTGCCCCTCCCCCTGCTCACATTCTGTCTCTCTCTGTCTCTCAAAAATGAATGAACGTTAAAAAAAAAAATGTAAATGCTTCACATTCAGCTAATAATGAATGAACAGAAAAATTAAAGGCCACTGATGCTAAACACAAATTTGTTTTCATATATGACAGGTAGACAGACAGAGATATACCTATATGTAATATGATGTATAGAGAGAAATACCGATACAGATATGGATATAGGCTTGGCTTCTATTCTGAGCCTGACAACTCGGACGGACTATGGAAAGTTCTGTAACCTCTCAGT